AAAGACGGTAATTGATGTAAGCGGACTGACAATGCAGCTTTTCTTGCTGTTTTTCTGTTCTACTGAGTTTTTTTGCATTGTTGGCGCTTCATGTGGGGTTTGCCGCTGCATGTTGTTTTCAAAAGTTGCCTATGGGATTGGCTTTGTTTATGCGCCTTTGTAAGCAGAGAGCTCGTCTTGCACACGTATGTAGAGTGAAATATTCAGTTGAAAACAAGTTGAAGGAGAATGGTAATCAGGCGGTTGTGGACACTACACTTGTTAGGCTTGTACATATATGAAGTTCTGTATTAAGTGTAAAAATTGCTTGTAACGCTGTTTGAAAGTTTCTTATGCGTCTGAATTCTACCATTTTACTGCGTGTTCTGTGTTTTGGTAAAAGCCTGCACTGATGCGAGTAGGGGTATCATTTTTCTCTCTGTGAGCAGTAATTCATATGATTGTAATTTTTCTGTTCATTTTAGAACTCTTTGACGTTTACATCATCTTTTTACGGGCACATCGAAGTGGTACAGTTTTCTTTGAGAAGGGGGCCAATGTCAATGCGAAGGACGAGAGTTGGGTAACTATTAATTCAAAGAACTATGGAGTTTGTAGCTTTATTATTCGTTCTTTTTTTTTAATATTGTTATTTGGTTATATTTACAACAAGGATTTTTATTACTACTGGATAGGGATATTGCTAATTTTTACCATATTTTGGTCGTATAAATCTATTATAAATCTCTTTGTTTCTTGAAATTAGCGTCATTAAAATGGTTATAAAAATCTGTGTCTCAGAGATTTTATGTATTTCTTTCCACTGTAGGTACTGCTATCGCACCTCTTTGTTAGTTGGGCACATCGATGTGGTGAAATGTTTAGTTGAAAACGGAGCCGATGTGAATGCAAAGGACAGAAGTGGGGTAGGCGTTTATTTGAAGAGATGAAGTTTTTTGTTTACTATTTTTTTTTATTTGTGGTTCTGATCATTTCCATTTGCACTGAAGGTTTTTTTGGAACGAGACAGTTATTTTCTTTCACAAGTTTTGATTTGTACTATTCGTTTTAAATGTGCTATATGTCTGTTTAGGAATCCCCGTAGCGAATCGAATGATACACGCGCATATCGAGTTGGTAAGGTTTCTGATCGCGAGAGGTGCTAAAATGGGTGAAAAGGAGGAGAGTTATGTCAGCATTTGTCGAGTTCCCTTAGAGGATGTGAGAAGCAGTATGGAATGTTCTATATTCTTAAATTATTTGGGAACATGTGATTTTCAGTTTTCTCAAGATTTCTAAACACCAAGGAAGGATACATGGATTCTTTAGTTCAAATGTTTTGCAAAAGTTCTATCAGTTCGGTCGTGTTTGACATTTTAAGCTCGATCAGGTGTTACTTTTTTACTATAGTTAACAAAGAATATTATGTTTGGGAGTGAAACACGTTTTTTAACTGAATTCTCATTTACCGCTGAGTGTATTTCCTTCACTCACAGTCTTTGGGACCAAGCTTTACTTCCAAGAGCTATGTAGTGAAATTTTACCTCCAATACAGCATTTCAGTTCGAGTGAATTTCCTCTTTTCAATATTTACACCAAATTTAATGTTGTGAACTCAGAATATTTGTCTATCTTGGTGGACCACTTTTTTTTATCTAAGAATGTCGTTAATTAATCCACTTGTGTTGTCTAACTAAACTGTACTACAAATTTTCTCTTCCAGGTACGTATTACTTTAATTGTATTAGAGGACTAGTACTATTTCTCTTGACCATATATCCCGATTGAACTTATGGTTACTCGTTTCATGTAAAACATTTTAATTAACTTGAAGTGACTAATAACATGAAGATTGGACAGGAAAATAGAAATTAATAAACAGTAATATGGAAAAATTATCAGTTACACCATTTTATTTCAACTGTGCAGCACTTTAAAAGTAAAGCCCTGTCTCCCAGCGGAGGGCGCAATCTGCTGCCGAGAAGAGTGCCGCAAGTGGCTGCCTTCCGTTAAAGTACATGTATTTATAGGACCGTTCATTTTCATTTTGGTGTGATGTTTTTCGTAAACGGAGTTTCGTGTACAGTGGGTAAATTCCAGCGGCTGTGACGCAATGAAACTGTGTAATGCGGCGGTGTTTGGAAGTTATCCGGGTGAACTCCATGAAGATATACTAAACTTGCAAGTAACTCGTTGCAGGTGACGCGGCAGCTATTGTATATTGTTTGTAAAGGTCTTATATGTTTGTGTTTACAGTCTCACCGTTTAATTTCGTTTTTTAGCCGAGATTTACTAAACGTTTTTTGACAGTATAACTGCAATAACTTCGTTTTGGTCATGTGCCGTAGTTTTTTTCGGTTACTGTATTCTACATTCAAAATACTTTTAAAAAACAAAAAAAAACGGGAAATGAATTGTAGGCAGTCGAGAAAGACGGCTGTTAACTAACAGGAGAAAAAATACAGTGTCTTATTAATTAAAAAAACTTTAAAAAGGAAATACTGAGCTCAGGGTGCTAGTAATGATGAGGAGAAGAAGTAGAAGTATGCTTTGTGTCCTACTAGTTTATTACGAAAAAGAAGGGGAAAACTGAAAGGGTTGGAGTTCTTACGGTTAGAAAGAAAAATAAAGCAAAGAGGGAGGTCGCTATAACTGAACGATCCGGAATGTCGCCTGCCAAAGAACTATGAGAATGGAGGACGTCGAGTGTAAGAAGACTCCAATTAATGGGGAATCGTCTTACACCAGAAAATTTGTGACATTGGGCTGCTGTTAGTTTACATGAAAGTAATTTATTATTTGAAAAAAAGAAACCTGTTACTTAAAAAAAAAGAACCTAAATACTTGAAAAAAAATTTGCTACTTTAAAAACCCATTACCTGAGGAAAAACATTATTTATGTAGTAAATTAAGTCTTAATGTTTATTCAGCCGCAGTAGTCTCTGATAG